TTGATTTTGGGGTCAGATCTTTACAACAGCTTGTTGAGCACTGATTGTGGACATAACCTGTTACGATGGCAATAGGTAAATTAATGTTTCAGTATTAAAGTAAAGAGAAGTATAGAAATTTGCATGACTTAACTAAGTGTGCCGTGCAAAGGGTAGTACTTCATATTTATATAAAGAAATAGAATAGACAAGGAAATATATGTGATACAAGGTAGCTTGTGTCCTTAGAGAGTATTTTGAGAAAGTAATTATGTTCCTTGATCTTTGATTGCCAAAAGATATCCAATATAGATTTAATTTGTCCATGGGAACATGAGCCAAATCAACCTTTGGGGAGTGAATTGGGCTGTATATAGTGCTTATATATTTATTCTTTGAAAGTCATTTCTTTGATATTGGCTTTCTCCTTTTACAAACAAAAGTTCATGTAGAGACATATTATTTATAATTTTTAGAGCATAGCAAGAAATAAAAAGGACAGAAATAGATTTTAAATGTACTTTTTTAACAGAAGCAATTTTATTATAATGTTTCATTAAATTGATTTTTGTGAAAATAGTATCTAGAAGGTTAGATTTGGGTTTTGGTATGTTCAAAAGATTTATTGAGGACTACAGATGAGAAAGCCCATTAAAATGTCTTTTCGGTATAATCATCCAGGCAGTTTCTATAGGGCTTGCAGATTTCATATAGTGAAGGAGCCCTAACCCAGAATCTTGGCATAGAGGGCATATAGCCCACCAACAACTAATTCAGCACCCTCCTTTTACCAATATAGAATTAATTCAATATTTTAATGTATCTGTGATTTCATTAATGTACATACTTACCCCAACTATGCAAAGTAATGCTTCCCTATCCTATGCACTTCTGAATCTTCCCATCAGTCCTCCACAGAGGACCCTCCAAATGGAATAGGAGTCTTCCTCTAGCTCTCATCATTACCAAGACACCAAATTAGGCTGACCATCTATTATCTTGCGCTCTTACTATGTGACTTTCCCATGGATAATTACACAGTATTACTTGGAAACTTCTCAGGCCTCCCAAAATTATGCACTTATACTCAAATTCTTAAGGGTTGATGACTCTGCTCTGTAAGAGGAGAATAGAAGTCTTCCTTTTTCTTTCTTCACAAGATGTTAACGTAGGCCAAAATATAGATTTCCTGTGCTATAAATTCATAAAGGAAAACCTGCCAAATGATAAGATGGAATTCACACTTAATTTACTTTTAAAAAACTCCTAATAATCCAAAATCTTTTCATTTGTGCATCATCTTAATTTCAGTCCCACTTAGTGTAATTTTTATTTAATTTGGCTAGGTATACCTCAGACCTATAATGTATTTAGTTTGTATGCAAAAATAACATCTTTCTTTTAACTTGTCTATCTGATAAAATAAAGATGTATTGTAATGTTTAAGATATTTTAGATATTAGGATATATTAGATATAAAAATGTTTTATATTTTGTGTTTGAGAAGCACATTAAGAGCAAGCCTCAAAAGAACAGGGAGCAGGGTGGTCCTCAAAATCATGCTACACAAGGATTAGCTGAAACAATGAAGGATTTTGAGCCTGGAGAAAAGAAAGTTGGGCAGGGATGTGATAGCTGTCTCAGAAAACAACTAAGAACGATGGTAAAAGTTTGTAAAGAGTCAAATTTAGGTTTGATCTAAGAAAAAACTTAATAACAATTTGAATTTTCCAGAATTGGAATGGACTGCCTAGGTGGAGAGGCCTCCTCCAGCTCTCAGATTCTGTTGGGCGCTTTGTTCCAAAGATTATATTACAATTCCAATTGTTCATGCCCTCTTATATTGTTATAACTATTTATAGGCCATGTGACTGAGGCTACATCTCTTAACCTCTCAAAGCCTCAGACAACTCTAAGACCCTTAAGTTTCAGAAAAAATGCCAGCCTGCATTGGTAGAGGGAGTAAGTTCACTGGAAGTTCTCCATGCCGGTAAAATCACAGGTCTGGTCCCTGTCTCCCTAAGAAATTCAAGAATCTGATTTTGTTGGTTTGAATATTCCATTCATTGACATAATAGCAACCGCTGTACAGTGTCAATAGATGATCTTCTAGAATTGCTTGTTTAAAAAAAAAAGTTCACCACCTTATGGTAATGTACCTCAATGTTGAACCTCTGTGAATTTGTTGACGCTGGTTGTCATGAAATAGATTACTAGGCCATGTTGAAGTTTTTCTATCTTGATAAGATCTTCCAGACTTTGAAACCTTGTTCTAGCATAGATTTCCAGAGACCCAAGTGATCCCCTGTTCATCATCACACCAGAGTGAGGCATTAGAGGAGGATTTTATCTGAAGATTAAGTAATTATAACTTTCCAAATGATCCTACACACCAAGAGCCAAACAATTAAATGCTTGCCACTTATTTGGCTATTTTTTAATTGGAGTTTTCTTTTAAACTAATTATGTTAATGTCATGTGTCACAAAATCTCAGGGTTGAAAGGAACCTCAGAGGCTATTTAGTCTAACCCATTCGTGAATAAAAATCTTTCCCAGAATATAGCTGTCAAGTGATCATTCAGCCATTGCTTTTGTGAATAGCGCTATTGAAGGGTAACTGCCTCAAGGGGTGTAGCACATTCTACTTCTGAATTATAGCATGTAAGCTCTCTGAGGGTAGGGACTCTTGTTTTTTGTCTCCATATCCCCAATGTCTAGCTCTTCATTGTAGGTGCTTGATAAATAATTTTTAATACCATCAAATAATTAATTTTTCCTAAATCTACTTTTCTAAAGCTGCGCTACCTCTTGTTCTAAAACATCTTACACATGACCACCTTCAAATGCTTAGACAGCTGTCATGTACTCCCTAAGTCTTCTCTTTTCCAGGTTAAACATTCCTAGTTATTTCAGCCAGTTCTAATTTGTCATGGGCTCAGTGACCGTCAGTATCTTGGTCACTCTCCAGTATATGAATAGCCTTCCTAAAATGTGATACACAGAAGTGAAAATAATACTCCAGGTGAATATCTGAATAGGGGAGAATACAATGGGATAATTTATCAACTTCCTAGTTCTAGACAATGTCTGTCTTAATGAAGCCCAAGATCACATTAGCTTTTTTTGATGACAAGTTACTGACTTAAATTGAACTTAGGTCCACTAAAACCCTCAGATCTTTTTCATAAAAAATCCCATCCAGCTATGCTTCTCCCGTTTTATACTTGCACAGTTAATAACTTGGCTGTAACATTTATCCCTGTTAGATTTCATTTTATTTAATTCCTACCAGTGTTCTAGCCTATTGAGATCTTTAGTGTGGCCTTTAACCTGTTAACTTCCTCCTTGCTTTCCATTAGCTGCAAATGTGAAAAGTTTGCTAGCTGTATCTTTATCCAAGTAACTGATAAAAATGTTTTACAAGGGCCAAGAACAGATCTCTGGGGCACAACCACACCAGAGACCTTTGAAGTGGGGACATCAAACCATTAATTGCTATGCTAGTCTTGGGGTTTAGTTGTTCAAACATTTCCAAACCCACCTAATTTCACTGTCCTGTAGCCCATCATCCCAAGAATTATTTTCCCAGTTAGTCAAATACTTTGCTAAAGTCTAGGTGAACTATATCTCTACCAATTCCCTCGACCTGACGGTCAAATCACCTTATCAGAAAAGGACATTACTTTGGTGTCCTATGATTTTTTTTCTTGAAGCCACGCTCTTTGTGATTACCACCTTGTTTTATAGACAATCATGCCGTCTTTTTAGTACTGTGATAGAATTTTGCTCAAATTACAAGTCATATTTACTGATCAATAGTTTCCAGACTCTTCCTTTTTTAAAAATCAGGATAACACTTGACCTTTGCCAAGTCTTTGAATGTCTTTACTACTCTCCAGTCTTTCAGAGATTATTAACAGTGAGTAGCTCAGTATTTGCTTGTAAACGACAATTCTGTCAGTGTTTTAGAGTGTCCTTCATCTGGGCCGGGCAACTTGAACTCATCAAAGATAGCTAGATTATCTTTTAGTGTTCCCCTTCTTATCTACCCACATTTATTTCAGTGATGGGTTGTTTGCTTTTCTTTCTGTGAGAAGAAGGCATTATTCAGGTAGTCTCAAGGACTATCTTTGCACAGGAAGAATGGCAGTAATGATTGGTGTAATGGATGTCTCTTTTCTACTTGTTTCATTTTCATTAGCTTCTGAAGTTTATCTGGTAAATACCTACAATTGTCTTGCCTTAGCACTTTTTTTTATAAGAGTAGCTGTTGTTTTTTCTTTTGTATTTAAATTTTTAATTCTTCCATCCAAAAAATGTACTAGCAATCAGAAGCTGTATTTCAAAAATAAATCTTATTAAAGTTCATATTTAGCATGTCATGTTAATTACATAAATATTGTATTCATTTTACAACTTCTAAATTCCTTTCTTAGTTTACACATCTGAATAACATTTGTGATGACTAAGCAAAAGAGTAAGGGCTACCAGGACTGAAATTGAGTTGAAATTACTTTTATACTGATGCTGAATTGCACATGGGTTCTTTTGACGTGCTTGACATTTTTCTTATAAACAACCCTAACTGATCATGGCAACTTTTTTTCCTTTTATGTCTATAATAAGCTTGTTATCAGTATCATCAGTGAGATGCAGTTAATAAGACTTTGGTTTAGAAAGTGTTTTTACGATCAGTATTAATAAATTCTTTATATTTTAAATTGTATTTGTATTTTGTAGATGAAAATATTTGAACAGAAAACAGAACACCTTGGTTCAGTAAAAAGCTAAAGCTATTATAAACATTGACCAACATTCAAAGATTAGCAAATTGTCTTAATACCACATAGTAATTGAGAATGATATTAGTAAAGTCTTTATAGAAAGTTTGTGTTAGGAAAGTTAGAAATATGCTATTTTGCAGTCCTAGTACCTGTGGTTTTTCTTTTGGGTAAGTTTTTCTTACCTTATTCATTTCAGCATCAAAATAAGAACTTTTTGCCTTGTTTCTAACTTTTAGCTTACCAGTCATTTGACAGAATTGAGCCCTAATCAACACCAAGAGGATGCAGTGGCCTCTTTTGCTGATGTGGGATGGGTCGCCAAAGAAGAAGGAGAGGTTTCCACAAGGCTGAGGTTAGTCTTGAAGGCCAGTAATAAGAGCTGTTGCATGTTTACCATCAGCAGTAACTAACCCAGCTTTACACTATTGTCTTAAGCATTTGAGCCTGCTCTTTGTTCCCGTTTATGACCTAACCAGTAATACCACAGATTGTTTTCATTAGCTTCTAAAACTTAGCTGGTTCACCCGTTCTTCAGTTGGAAGGGGAGGGAAGAGGACATAGTCAGACCCGCACTTGAGGAACACAAATTTACCGAGTTCTCACCAGGTTCTTAACGTTCTAGAAACTTGACAATGCATACATTTACAAATAATTCCCACTCAGGGGAAATTTTGCGATATCTGAGATGCAAAAGAACCAAGAGAAATATGTTTGCATGTCAGTAAAAATATGTTTGAGATTTTCTCTACAAATTAAGGACTGTGTGTAGTTCTGAGAAGCACTTTCTGAAAAAGGGGGATTAAGTTGTGATTACCAAGGAAGGCTGTATGTCAGACTGCTTTCGTGGAAGAAGGAAAATGTAATCAAGAAGTGGCTGGAAGGCACACTAGTTTGGAACAAAGGATAGAGGCTGGAGTATAGGAGGAAATGCTAGTGTACTAGAGGAGCAGGATTAGCTGGTGAAAAGCTTTGACTGCAGTTGTCCGATTTGTATTTGGTCTGGAGGAAAGTCAGTGCATTGGGGAAGTGTAGTTTGATTTTGTTGTTGTGATAAATATGAATAATGCTATAGGGGAAACTGAGGAATTCTCCCCAGTCCCTGAGGAGATCCTCCTCAGCCCCCTGGGTTACTGTCTCATGACCTGACATAAAGATAAATTGGAGTTACCAACGCATGGCCGATGACCATGGAGACTGAAACATTAAATAACCAACAAACTGTGTTACCCAGGAAAGCAGTTCATCTCAAGGAATGTTTTTCTTGAGAAAGGTGTGTAACTGTCAAAGGAATTGATCACTCCTTGGAGACTTACACAACAAACAGATATTTGGGGCTCTGATCAAGCCCCAACCTTTGTTAGGATGTGTGTATGTCCTAGACATGAGCTCACCAAGGATATGTACACAAAACAAAACATCAAGATTGTTTTCCCCTGGTTTACATGGATATAAAAGAGGTCATTTGGAAAGGGATTTTTGGAGTACTTTGATGTCAGAGATAGGTACGCCGAATCTCTGTTGTGGTCAGAAGCAGAACGCACGCAGGGCTTCTGTTGAGTCGGAGCAGGACGCAGCCCTTTTGCTTCCCTGACCAACACCTGTTGGCCGTTCTTCAGTTTCCATGGTCTATTAGGTATTTGAGCTTGCGTGTTCAGTGATTGTGTGTCCTTTCTTTTCTTATTCCTCTTTTTCTTTATTTTGGTTATTACTTATTATATTGAATGTTTTTCTTATCTTTATGTGTGTGTTTTGCTTTAATCATTGTAAAATAAATGTGATAATTTGTTAAGATTACAGCGAGTACATGTCATCATATCTTGAGATCTGAACCGAAATTGAAACTGCGCAGTACGTAATCCTTTCGATTACAAATGCATTTTGGCTGGAACACGCATGATAGTTTGAAGGGCAGTGGCTAACAGAACAGCCCAAAGGTTGTAATTAGTCTAGAGCAATCAGTAAGCGTTCATTAGCACCTACTGTGTGCCAGGTCCTATGCAAGGTGAGGAGGAAGGAATATTCCAGGAATGGGAAAACAGCCAGTGAAAATGCCTGGAGTTTTGTGTGAGGAACAGCAAGGAGGCCATTGTAACTGGACAGTAGATTCTAGGGTGGGGAGATAAGGTATAATAAGTTCAGAAAGGTAGGAGTGGGCCAGGTTGTGAAGGGCTTTGAATGCCAAACAGGATTTTATATTTGATCCTGCAGGTGATTTTTAGTCACTGGAAGTTATTCAGTGAAGGGAAGGGGGTGGCTATGGTCAGACCAGCAAAAAGACCAAAAGTCGGTTTTGCAATAGTTCAGCAGAAGTGAGGTAATGAGGATCTGCACCAGGTTGGTGATAGTATCAGAAATGAGAGTATGGGCAAGAAATGTTGTGCAGTGATCAACTGTGAAAGACTTAGCTACTCTGATAAAGATAATTTTTCAAGATAGTTACAAAGGACCCATGATGAAAAATGCTATCCATCTCCAGAGAGGGAACCGATGAACTCTCTGAATGCAGATTGAAGCGTACTTTTTTTCACTTTCTTCATTTGTATGTGTATGTGTGTGTTTTCTTTTGCAACATGTCTAATATGGAAATATCTAAGATGTTATGAAGGTAAAATTGAAAGGACTTGGCAGCAGATTGGATGTATGAGGGTTTAGGAAGAAGGAGGAGATGACACCTAGGTTTCAAGCCTGAGTGACTGGGGTTGAGTGATAGTGTCTTTGACAGTAATAATTACATTTGGATAAGGGAATGGTTTGGAGAGAAAGATAATAAGTTCAGTTTTGGGCATGTTGAGTTTAAGATGTCCAGTTTGAGATGTCTGTTAGGCAGTTGGAGTCTGTAGGTTAAGGCTGGATAAGTAGACCTAAGAATAAGTACCATGGAGGTGATAATTAAACCTAAGGGAGCTGATGAGATCACCAGGTGACAGTGTAGAGGAGGAAGATAAGAGGGCCCAGGACAGAGCCCTTTGGGACACCCATGTTTAGCAGGCATGACCTGGGTGATGAAGAGATCCAGCAAAGAAGACTTAAACAGTAGTTGTCACATAGGTTAGAGGAGAACCAGGAGAGCAGTGTCACAAAAACTTAGAAAAGAGCATCAAGGAACAGAGAGTGATTGTCAGTGGCAAAGGCTGCAGAGAGGTCAAGAAGATTGAGAATTGTTAAAACGGCCAAGAGATTTTGCAGTTAAGAGATCATTGGTAACTTTGAGAGGGAAGTTTCCATTAGATGATGAGATTGGAAGCCAGACTGTATTGAATTAAAAAGAGTGAAAGAAAAGGAAGTAGAGGTGTAACTTATAGATACCCTTAAGGAGTTTATCCTCAAAAGGGAAAAGAGGGACAAGCTATTAAGGGTAGATGGATCAAATAAGGGTTTTCTGATGACAAGGAAGACATGGAGATATTTGTAGACAGTAGGGAAGCAGCCAGTAAACAAGGAGAGATTGAAGATAAGTGAGAGGGTAGGAAACGTGGGAAACGGCAGTCTACTAGAGAAGTCAGGATAAATTGGTGTCACTTGTGCAGGTAGAGGAAATCTCTGCAAGATTTTTGATGATGCATATTAAGAGAGTGATTTGGATTTTACTGGTGGTGTGGGGGAGAAAAAAAAGATGAAAGTATAAGGAGACAAAGGTACAGGAAAGTTAGTGGCATGACCTACCATACTGGAAAATTGGTCAGGATTATTGTCAGGGAAGGCCCTTAAAAGTTAAGCATGTGTATGCTACCTGTGTTACTTATGAGTTCACCTCATATATTTAACTGTAACTGTGTAAATATACATTTATATGTGTATCGCTTAGAAATGGGAGTATGGAGGTTTGGGGCTTTTTAAAAAATTAGATAACAGGAGAGATGTCTCAGGACTTTATTCCCATAGTTCAGAGACATCTGAGGGAACTCAGAGAGGTCCCACTGTATTATTAGCTGACTTGTCACAGTGTCTCAAGATCCTTCACATAGAAAAAAAGCTAGAAAGATCCCTGCTATGAAAGTTTACCTGGCAGTTAAAATGAAGAGATTAAAATGGGCAGTGCTAGAGATAAGCTATATGATATTATACTAATGTGGTGACAAAACTTAAAATTATGTTTTCTGAAGGCAAAGTTTCCTGAAAACTTTTGTACTAGATAGACAGGTGATGACAGTTTATTTTGTATTGACAAATAATGAATATCTGAGATATAAGCTTTCACTAGATGGCTTCTTAAAACAGTTTATTAAAATATATTTTCCGCATGCCTTAAGTTACTTGCATTTACATTGACTCTCTTTTGCAATTTTTTTTTCTAAAACTTACACAGATGAAATAAAATTAGATGCATTAAACCAAATGAAAACACAATGTGGAATATAATTTTAAATAGACTTCTTATAATGTAAATTATGAAGTAACTTCTTTTTCATAAATTTCATTTGCATTCCAGACTGCTTAATTCTATGTAGAAACATCCTATTCCGAGACTCCATTTATTTATGGCACAGTTTGTTTCCTTGTCTCTCACATTTGCATTTGTGTGGAAGCAGAACCTCTTTAAAAGATCTGTTCTTATTTTTCAAATGAAGTTTTTGTTGACGACATTTCAGCACCAATTAGTTGTGATGTCATAGCATTGTATAGGTTAAGAAGAGCAACTGGGACCATATGAGTCCCCAAGAGACAAGATACTAATACTTTTTACAGGCACTTCCTTTTTATTAACAGAACTGCTTGTGATTTGGAAAAAAACTCTCCCTACAGTTTCTATTAAGCGTTCATGAGTCTTTAATCAGATTAATCAGTCAAGAAGGATTTATTAAGGACAGACTGTGTGCCAGGCATTGTTTTAGGTACTATGGCTACAAGTTCAAAGAATAGGTATAATTTAGAAGTCTGTCAAATCTTCCTCACTATGGAATATTAACATTTAATTCAACCATATGATAACTGCCTACTGTGTTTAGGGAACTGTTCAGTGGTTTTGGAGGGGGAGAATAGATGATGCAGAGTATTAAGACATTGCCCTACTATTAAGACATTGCCCTACTATTACATAGCTAGCAGTTTTAATAAGAGGATAAGACAAGCAGATAAATATAATACACACATTTTACAAATGCATAAGAGAGTTGTGAAACAAAGTGCTGAATGAGGTTTGAGAGTAAGGAGAAGCAGGAGGTTACATGGTATGTTCACAGGACACATAGACCAGTTGATGGGAATCTCATGCAGGAAGAAGGGTACTTTATGAACTTAGGCCAGAAAGGGAGAGTGGCTTCAGATTTCAGAGGTCAGACAATCTGAAGATGACTCAGGAGATCTTGGTGATGTGGTGGATAAAGTGCTGTCCTTGGTCAGAACTGCCTGCAT